CACCACGCCCGGGACCGCCACGACCCATCCAGGTCACTCTGGGGGATGGCCAAACCGTCGACATACCGTACCACGCCGCCACCATCTCACGGCGGTATAAGGTACGCACCCCGACGGGCCGGTGGATCATCAGATTCGACCGACGAGGAAGACCGCGAACGATCCGTCGAATAGCCACCCCCCCCTAGAAAAGGAGGGTGATGTGACGACCCGATTAGCCGTCACTAGTCGCCCGCGCTCGTGTAAACGGCCCCTTTCGGGGCCACCACACGAATACGTTGGGAATCCGCCTTTTCGCCCCCACCCGTCACTCGACCCCCTCCAAGCTAGTCTTAGAGTGGGGTGGCCGACGGGTATAAAGAGCGGCGCAGCCGAGACTTCGACACCAGTCCCGTCCTGGTCCCTCGAGCGTACTCAGGGATCACTCCTCAACTCCCACACTCCAAATCACCCCGGCCGACGAGCGTTCTCGTCGTGCAGGCCGAGCGTTCTCGGTCACCGGGTCCTGTCCGTAACTCACCCCGGCCGACGAGCGTTCTCGTCGTGCAGGCCGAGCGTCCTCGGTCACCGGGTCCTGTCCGTAAATCACCCCGGCCGACGAGCGTTCTCGTTGTGCAGGCCGAGCGTTCTCGGTCACCGGGTCCTGTCCGTAACTCACCCCGGCCGACGAGCGTTCTCGTCGTGCAGGCCGAGCGTTCTCGGTCACCGGGTCCTGTCCGTAACTCACCCCGGCCGACGAGCGTTCTCGTCGTGCAGGCCGAGCGTCCTCGGTCACCGGGTCCTGTCCGTAAATCACCCCGGCCGACGAGCGTTCTCGTCGTGCAGGCCGAGCGTTCTCGGTCACCGGGTCCTGTCCGTAAATCACCCCGGCCGACGAGCGTTCTCGTCGTGCAGGCCGAGCGTCCTCGGTCACCGGGTCCTGTCCGTAAATCACCCCGGCCGACGAGCGTTCTCGTCGTGCAGGCCGAGCGTCCTCGGTCACCGGGTCCTGTCCGTAAATCACCCCGGCCGACGAGCGTTCTCGTCGTGCAGGCCGAGCGTCCTCGGTCACCGGGTCCTACCTGAAAGTCACCGGCGCCCGACGGAGCTCGCCCTTCTCAGGGCGCCCGTACGCGTGTCCGCGTTGGAAACTCTAGCAATAAGTCGTGTCCGCGTCCGTATAATCTGGTCGCGTCTCGTCCGTAATATTTCTATCCGTCAATCCTAGCAATAAGTCGTGTCCGCGTCCGTATAATCTGGTCGCGTCTCGTCCGTAATATTTCTATCTGTCAATCCTAGCAATAAGTCGTGTACGCGTCTGTATCATCTGGTCGCGTTTCGTCCGATTATACTGTGCTGTGTATAATGGTTTGAATCACGGGAGAACCACAGGAAGGTGGCCCCGAATAAACTCTACTTTTACCAGAGCAACCGTGTGTCATTGTAAATCTGAGTCTCCCCTCTTCCCGAATCCTGGCACCGACGAGCCGATCCGTGGCGTCGGGAAAGGTGCTTCGTTACAAATTAAACGATTATCAATGTGGCTACGAATACGTTTTCTTATCGAAGGGAACCAATAATGACTTGCTAAACCTTGATAGGTTTTCTCAAAACCACAATGGGCCATATCATCGTGGTAGACCCTGATTATGTTAGTTACCATGGCTTCCGGTACCACAAACCTGTGTTTGTTAGTATCTTTTCTAAAAACTAGACCATCTATCAATTGGAATTTTTCTTGGTCTTCTTTTTCTAAGTTTTCAGCCAAACGTTTCAAAAAGGGATCTGTTAATTGTCTGTATTGTAGCTCTTTTTCTAGCGGAATTGTTTCTGTGAAGCAGACGGCTCTGCTGAGAGCATCTACATGCGCCATCCGAGGGGCCTCTATGTTTGGTATTGAATGTATAATCCAGTAATCTCAGGATCTACCTCGCTATTCGAGGATTTAGACAGGCTTTATTGATTGCATGCACTACCGCATTGCAATCTGTAACTACTGTAAAGTCTATTCCATATAAGTAAATATGGAATCTTTCGATAGTTTTGACTATTGCGAGCATCTCCAGTTCAAAACTATGATAGTTACTTTCAGCACCATTAGTGCACTGACTGTAGTAAGCTACTGGCGACCAATTATTGAATTTTTGCTTTTGAAGCAAGATGCCAGCTATTGCGACTGCACTAGCATCCGTATGGATTTCTGTGGGTAACGTGGGATTATATACGGATAAAATGGGCGCTGAAACTAGCTCATTTTTAAGAAGATTGAAAGCTGTCTGACAACTTTCGTCAAATTTAAAGGATACAGATTTTTTTAATAAATCCGTAAGAGGTTTGAAAGCATAGTTTTTAATAAATTTTCTAAAGAAATTAGTGAGACCTAAAAATCTTTGAATTTCTACTACCTTTTTTGGTATGGGGAAGTTTTTAACAGCTTCCACTTGTCTTTCGCTTAATGTAATCCCTGTAGGGGAAATTACATATCCTAAGTATTCTATCTTTTCTTTCAGAAAAAGACATTTATTATAATTCAATTGAAAATTATATTGTTTAAGAATTAACATAACTTGTTTTAAAACGCGTAAACTATCGTCAATCGATGTGGATGAAATCAAAATATCATCTATGTATACTAATATTTTATCTTCCCGAATCAATGGTGACAAAATTTGTATAAGACGACGCTGAAATTCAGCTGGTGCTTCACAATAACCAAAAGGAAGTTTCACGAATTCGAACTGGTCATCCGGTGTGGCAAACGCAAAATATTTTGTGTGTTCTGGAAAGATTTTTATATGGTGAAACCCGTCTTTTAAATCTAAAAGGGTAAATATCGTTTTATCACCTGAACGCGATATGCAGTCTTCTATCAGCGGAAAGGGGTATTTTTGTTTTATCACTCTACTATTAAGAGGTCTCAGATCAATACAAAGACGCATGGTACCGTTCTTTTTTCGAACCGGAACTATTCTAGCGCAGTACGGAGAAGAACTATACTTAATAATATTCCTATCAAATAGGTCGTCCGTAATCTCTCTGATCTGCTGCCTTTCAGACCACGCAAATCTTCGTGGCGCGTACGCATAAATAGAATCGTCCTTTAACGAGACTTTAACCGAGTGATCATCCTCCACTGGTGGGACGTCTGTATCTTCTACTTCTTTAATTACTTTAATTAATTTATGATCGGCTTCTGGACCAAAATCAAATTTTAATTCCGATAGAAAAGGAATAGAGTCCTTTTTTGGAAGTTCAACGATTTCCGTTGAGGCTACTTCTGAAAATAAATCAACTTTAATTTTTGATTCATTATTAGTCAAAGAAACAGTGAAAGTTATTTCATTGTCTTGAAGGAAATCTCTTCCTAAAATCAAATCCATGGAAGAAAAATTATCTTTTAAAACTAGCATATTTACAGATGCTGTAAAATTTGGCAAGGATTTTAAAACTAAATTCGTTTTTATTGAACCCAGAGTTGAAATGGTAGTGTTATTTACCGCTCTATATGTTTGTTTAGTACTGTTAAATCGCAAAAATTGAGATGAGAAAAATTTACTAAAAGTGGCATGGCAGATGAGACAATAGATCATTTTTTGGAGGAAATGCACCATATCACTGAAGTGTGCAGAACCACTAAAACTGTTTCAAAAAATGACAAAAAAAACAACCCCTCGAAGAATAACGACTTCAAGGACAGCAACGGTTCCCCTAAAAATGGACAGCAAAGGCCGGAAACTTTTTGTGCCTATTGCCGCAACAAGAGACCGGGCTTCCCGTGTCTATCATTGCTAGTAACTTGCATGCGACGTTATTTAATTTAACAATATTAAGGACGGTGTCTTGGGAAACAATTTTCCTACCGTTATCTTTAAATGTTACCGCTACTATAGAAGATGGACTGCTTGGCTGTTCATCGACTGTTGCTACCGTAGGAGAAGTTGTTGGGGATGATGCTATTTGCTGCTCCCTCCTTTTAATTTTCTGCAATCCTCTCTTAGGTGACCCTTGTTGCGGCAATAGGCACAAAAAGTTTCCGGCCTTTGCTGTCCATTTTTAGGGGAACCGTTGCTGTCCTTGAAGTCGTTATTCTTCGAGGGGTTGTTTCTTTTGTCATTTTTTGAAACAGTTTTAGTGGTTCTGCACACTTCAGTGATATGGTGCATTTCCTCCAAAAAATAATCTATTGTCTCTGCACGTATATAGGCAGCTGTTGATTTAATGGAAAGATTGTTAATACCATTTATTAACAGTTGGATGGTGTCTTCATTATTAAGCCTGAGTGGATGTATTAATGCAAGCTTATCCATGGCGTATTCTTGAAAACTCTCTGATACGAAATTCCATTTTCTGTCATTTATTTTCTGCATTACCACGTTGAAGAGGATTCTCCTTTTGAATCTTCGAATGATTGCATCTTTAAAAGTGTCCCAGGATTTATTTATATTACCCGGACTCAAATCCATCCAGCGGCGAGCAACTTTATTAAGTTTGGAGGTAGCCGCTGACAATCTGACAATAGGTGACAGACCATAATTATCCGCAATGGTCTCTATTTTTTCCAACCATAGGGAGATGTCTTCGTCTTCCGTACCACCAAAGGAAGATATGGAATTCGTTAAGAATTTGATGGATTGTGCTGTGGCAACGAATGACATTTCTGGAACAAGGTTATTATTAGTATCTTGAAATTTGTGTCGCACCATACCTTGTGGTGAGAAAACAGGTATCTGCGAGTCTGCATAATCTGTTACTTGAGGAGTTTCTGAATATGACTCCTGAGCTTTGTAGTAATTCAACAGAGGCGTCTCTGGTGAGGATCCTTGGTTTGGATAACTTGTAGAGCATTGGTGCTGTATATGTGTTGGCACTAAATGCTGCATAGTGGTTGACCTTTGAGGCTGCGTAGTAATATGCAGTTGCTGTGAAGAAATGGGTACTTGATTATGAGCCGTTGAGACTAGCATTTGATGCTGTGTCGTTGGGACAGACAGTTGTTGCTGTGTGTAAATAAGCAGTTGATGTTACGACATCGAAACAGGCAGTTGATGCTGTGTTGAGATAGGCAGGTGATGCTGCGACATTGAAACAGGCAATTGATGTTGTGTTGAGATAGGCAGGTGATGCTGCGACATTGAAACAGGCAATTGATGCTGTGTTGAAATAGGCAGGTGATGCTGCGACATTGAAACAGGCAATTGATGCTGCTGTTCTAGCGTAGAAGTTTTTGAGACGGACATTGACATGAACATTTGTTGCATGATGTACTGCTGCTTAACTAGTTGTTGCAGCATGTCTTTTTGCTGGTCCATTTGTTCCTTTTGCAATTCTATTTGTTCTTTCAACGAGGAGTAAGATTGAGGCTGTGTATTTGTGGATGCCTGGTCCTGTGAGTCAATTTTAAAAGACAGATTAGAACTAGGATGATTTTCTTTCAAATTACCTGATACATCGGAATGTGATGGGTTTTGTTCCTTCATTGTCGTCTCTGTTTGCTCAGAATTTTTTTCTAATTGCAGCTTTTCTTGTCTAATTATGTGATCTAAGATCTCATCTATCCATCTATCCTTATCTTGACTTGGTAGGATGATGCCGTATTTTCTTCCTTCAGCTCGTAAGAGAAGAAGAGATAAATCACTTAATTTCGCCTTGACGAGTTCCATCGATGTGTCTGTAGACATCTTGAAAGCGCGGGGATCTCGCGACTCGTGAGCTCGGGAAACAAAGGCACTAAGAAAAATAAAAATGGCGACTGCTTTTTAGCGCGAACGACGCATTTGATACCAATGGCGTCTAACCGGCACTTTTCGTGACCGTAACAAAGAAAATTTTCGAATGCGATTAAAACACTGAAAATTATAGAAAGCCTCGACCGCCTTTTGGGCAATGCAAGGATTGACTCGTCAGTCTTCGGACAACGCGAGAATATTTCGACAGTCTTTGGACAACGCGAGAATATTTCGACAGTCTTTGGACAACGCGAGAATATTTCGACAGTCACTGGACAACGCGAGAATATTTCGACAGTCACTGGACAACGCGAGAATATTTCGACAGTCACTGGACAACGCGAGAATATTTCGACAGTCTTTGGACAACGCGAGAATATTTCGACAGTCACTGGACAACGCGAGAATATTGCGACAGTCACTGGACAACGCGAAAAAGAGAAAACCACTCAAAGCAAGGGATATCCCACTTCTGAAGCTGTGAAGACGTTTGTTTTTCTGAGGAGAGGACTCTTTGTTGGAATGCCTGAATTCGCGGGTGTCAGGAAAGCCGCGGGAGAGGCGAACAAAGGGGTCTTGCTCATGAGATGGTTGTAATAATTGTCACACCACGTTTAACTGAACTAATCTTTATTCAAGCGCATGGCACATACAAATACCATGTTCCCGTCGTGTGACTCGATATTCTAGCGTGGCGTATGCCATACAACTTCTTCCTACGTCGTTGTACGTCGTGCCCCACCACACTCTCCCGCTCTTCTCTTTTTTCCTCGTCGACCACGAGGTTCGCACCGCTGCGCGCGCATCTCACACCTGCGCGCGCATCTACAGGATGCGCGCGCCTATCTGCACGCAGGCATACTTATGCTATGCAAGATATATTTTGTAATATATCTTACATTATGTTGCAAGTTGCTACTTCAGTATTCTTAAGATGATTTGCTGTTTAATAAAATGTGATAGGATATGTATACGGTATGAGACTTGATATCATTTCTGCAAAAGTTAATATATATATATGATATTTCTAAATATTATGCTGTGTATTAAAATTATGAAATGTCTATTTCAGATATAAAAGAATTGATATATCCTATGCATCGGTAATAATTGCAGAGCAGGCCTGTCATCAAGCATCAAAAAAGAATCCATTTACAAAGCATGATATTTTGTTAAGCGAGAGTTCATTATTATTGTCTCCGCTTTCAGAATCTTGTGAAATGTTATGGAATAACCAACTGTGACTAATTTAATTGTCGTGTTTATTGAAGAAGGATCAGTGTGCTTCTTTATATGATTGCAGAAGGCATAAAACATCTATGTTCCTAACTACTTATATATAAGTGTGTTTGTTTGCATATGTTTGTATATACGAGTTGTAAAATAGTCTAAAGATTTATGTACAAAATGCAGTAATGTATCATCTGCATTGCGATATTGCATTAATTAATTTTATACTGATATATTTATTATGTACGTCTTATGTGTCCAGATATATCAGTAATTCCAATATAATTTAAATTTATATTATATTTATATTATAATTTATATTTATAATATATTATAATTCATATTTATATTTGTTTAGAATTATATTTACATAACATATACATCAGTGTCAAATTAATAAAGCAATATCTCAATGTAGATGCATTACTGTACATAAATCTTTAGACTATTTTACAGCTCGCGTGTACACAAACACATGCGAGCAAGTACATTTATGTATAAGTAATTAAGAATATAAATGTTTTATGCCTTCTGCAATCATGTAAAGACTAGAAGCACATTGATCCCTTTTCGATATACACAGAATCTAAATTACTCATAGTTGGTTATTCCATAACATTTCACAAGATTCTGAAAGCGGAGACAGTAATAATGAACTCTCGCTTAACAAAATCTCATGGTTTGTAAATGGATTCTTTTTCGATGCTTGATAACAGATCTGCTCTGCAATTACCACCAATGCATAAGATATGTCAATTCTTTTATATCTGAAATAGACATTTCATAATTTTAATACACAGCATAATATTGAAGAATGTCATATATAGAATAAGTTTGGCAGAAATGATAACAGATCGTATACCGTGTACATACCTTATCACATTTTATGGATCAGCAAATCATTTTAAGAATATTGAAACTTGCGTTATAAATGATATTTTTCACAGCATTGATGAAGTATTGCGATACTCATACACCGCTTCTCATACGCCGAGATAATTTGCATATTATTTAATAATTATTGCGAATTTTGCAAAATAAATAGAGGATCTTTCTATTCAGTTTAACATGCAGTTTAACGTGCGGTAGATCGCACGCTTTGAGCTGCGACCGACAAAAGACACGCGACATATGATACCGCGCCGAAAAGTATTATAACTTTGTTTTTTCGACGATATGAAAATGCGAAAATGATGACGATATCGCGTGTCGCGTGTATGACACCCTGCATATAATATACATATACAACATTGTATATTTAAAATTATTCCATTCAAGATTTATTAGAGAGAACGACGAATGCGATCATGCACGCACGATTTATGCTACTAGATTATTTTATAAACAGCGTGGAGATCTTTATCATTTGCACCTTGCCGATGTATTTATTTCAACGTTAACATACAGTTAAACATTAACGCTGCCTAATTTAACGTGAAATCTATCACAATTCGGCATGCGCGTGAAAGAGAGGGAGAGAGGGAGAGGGAGAAAGAGAGAAATAGAAAAACGAAGAGAGATATATGTATATATATAAATTAATCATATGATTCTTCCTGATTCACGCATAATGCGTAAGAAGAAGAGACAGAAAAACTATAATTCACTTCACACATTTTATAGATTTTTGCTTCATACGCATGAATCAAAAAGTATCATATAATTAAATTATATGTACAACATAATTCGTTATCTGCTTCTCTCTCTCTCTCTCTCTCTCTCTCTCTCTTTCACGCGCAAGCCGAATTGTGATACATTTTATGTTAAATAGGTAATGTTAATGTTAAACTATATGTAGGTTAACGTTGAAATAAATACATCGGAAAGTTGTAAATGATAAAGAGTTCACGCTGATTATAAAAAAACACAATTTATATCATAATTGGCGGCATGAGCTAATATTAACCGGTCTCTCTACTAAATATTGAATGGAAGCATTGTAAATATACAATTTT